TGACAGAGGATAAACCCGCAAGCACCATCGTCAAATATTGATTGTTATCGCTGTTGTTCAGGTAAGGTACGTTCAGCAATAGTTGTCTGCTGATCGATTTCTACACTGATTTCCTGTAGCGCATTGCTTTCTTATCTGTGATACAGTCCATCGAAACCTTCCGGCCAATCCATCGATGTCTCGTGCGAGCCATATCATAGTGCCGTGTGCCTAACACTAGGATATGGAAGCCTGCGTGCTTGATTATTGTTATACTTTTTCTTGTTAGGACCTGTATAGGATCTGAATTATCATAATATTATAGAAATATTGGCGTAGCATCTTGAGCGTTGCCTGTTTCTTTTAACGAGTGATGGATTTCTGGGTTTGTGCTCATGCGATGAACAGAGGCAGCGTCACCGACTTCCCTTGTAGGGCGAGCATGTCTATAAAACCGAAGTTGTCCTCAGATTTCGCCCACTTTTCAAACTAGCTTCCTAGATATATAGATATATGAAACCAAGCACAGCCACCTCTCGACCTGGCGGGATCTCATGACTTGTTAATCAGTGCCTTCTCTTGGACTGGCGGAACTCTTAGAGGCAGAAACGCCACCGGAGCTCAATCACTTATTCAACACTAATGAGATAGGATCTGTTTACTTTTTTTCTTGTCAGGATCCACACAGATTTGCAACAGTTGCGATCAATCACAGGCCTTACGAGTTGCGCGTTTTGCGTTAACTTATTCGCAGGTGACCACGTGTGCTACCTGGAACTGCGGAATTATCATAATATTATGGAAATATTGGCGTAGAATCTTGTGCGTTGCCTTTTTCTTTCATCGAGTGATGCATTTCTGGGTTTGGCCTCATGCGATGAACAGAGGCATTGTCACCGACTTCCCATGTAGGGCGAGCATATCTGAAAAACCAAACTTGTCCTCAAATTTCGGCCATTTTACAGACTAACTTCCTAGACACATGAAACTAAGCACAGCCACCTCTCAGCCTGGCGGGATCCAATGATCTGTTAATCAGTGCCTCCTCTTGGACTGGTGGGACTTTTAGAAGCAGAAACGTCGCCGGAGCTCAGCCAGTTAGTGCGTGCTGCCCAGCCCACATGTGACGGTGTGGGTAGGTTTGATTCCCCCCGGTATTCGCCCTCAGCGCTCCACATTTGTTATTCGCCCCATTTCCTTTTAGGGTCTCATCTGGAGGAGTAAAAGGTTTTTTCGAAGTCTCCTGAGCGGGGGCAATCCAAGTGTGGGTATTCCACGTACAGATCTTCCGGGCATTAAGCCTTCCGAACATAGTTTTTTCTGACCCTCATCTTTCCCAGCTCGGGAGACAGGCTCACCGTTGCTGCTTCGTCAGCGGCGAAACTGCTTCTTTGCTTTATGAGTTACCGATTCGGGGAAGTGAATGGACAGCTGTAGAGGACAACAGCCATGTTTTGACAAGTTATAGCCAGTTTCTCAAAACAGACATTCGTGGATTTCTGGCGTAAATCGTATATTTTTGGCGTACAATCGTAAAATCCAGTTTCTCAAAACAAAAACGTACAACTTACAACTACAATCTACGGCATTAAAAAAATACACAGAAAATGTACAATCTGCGACACAAATGTACGCAAACAATCTTGCATTAGTTTCGCATAGCCATACACAAACTACGTCACAGCGTACGTTCTGATGCAGGAAGGCCATATTTGGCAACATAATCAACGACACCCAAGCTGGCGTGTTTTCAGCATTCTGTCAGTTCTCTGTACAGTACTCAAGAGATCCTCATTTCCCTGTACATTTCAAGAAACATTAAGTAAGTTAAAGTTGGAGTTAAAGCATTAGCTAAGTGAACAATGGAAGAGCAACATCATCAACCCAGGGGAAGAAGACCAAGGATATACAGACCAAGGATAAACCTTACGTGGCAAGTAGCTGAGAGCTTTAGGTAAGTTATGAGTACTCTATGGTATTTGCAACAAAGACTCAAATCATGTGAAATGACAATGATTGTGAAACAATCTAATTCATTGGCATGTTGAACATTCGTTACAGAAACCTAAGTTATACACTGACACTTGCTACACATGCCTAATTGCAACCCATAGTTGCAAGGCATCTATTTCCCAGGATGAGACTCAGGATATCAGCCAACATGGCTGAAACTATTCTTGGTCACATAGGACTACAGCTGGCCCATCCTACTGGAAGGGGTCGAGCTTTGCTCCCTCATGAAGTTCCTCCTGGCATCGGGGTAAATATGTTGCATATTGGCACTGCATTATGATTCATGAGCACCAAATTCCACCTACCTCCAAGCATTGCTGCTTGAAATCACTATCCTTTGATGCACTTGGTGTTGCACAATATGTAAATATAAGCTGGTTTTAATTTGCTCTTTTGGGTAATAATATCCTGCATCATCCAGCGGCTTTGCTATCGCGTTGTAAAATGGATTATATTGCCATGCCAATTACACTGCTGTCTTCATTTCCAGATTCTTTGCTACAGGAGGCTTCTATCTACTGACTGGAGATGGGCATGGGCCTTCAAAGGCTACTGTGTGCCGCTGCATTTGAAGAGTAGCATTTGCCTTAGTACATGCATTTGGCAAATCAATTGCCTGGTCGTAGCAGCCCCAGCTTCAGATCCTGACAGAGAAGTTCTTTCGGATGCATGGGCTGCCCGACGTGGTCGGTGTTCAACATTGAACATTCTGAACGTCATTCAAAATTTCGAATGTCTGGAATGCACTTTGCTTGGTTCCTCCCCCACAACCCCGATGGCTGCTTGTGATCATGCGTCGTAAATGTTTGACTGCAGACCGGTTCTGCTTGCCGTTGGTACCTGCGAGCTAAGGTTGGATGCCAAATGAACACATGCATCTGGTGCACCCAAAACGATCACAAAGTCGACACCAAAATGAAATTATTTACGGCTATCTACTTATCTACACCTTAGACACTTCCTGAAATGCTGCCCCCCCCCCCCCCCCCCCCGACACACCACTGCTGCCATAACTGCTAGGAATTCGCAGTAATGGCGCCAGTCTGCTCCCGTTCGTCGATTGACGTGACTTTTCGTGGTAACGCTAATTGTCCACCTTCCAGTGCTTCTTATTTGAAATGGCCAGATATTTTTCAGAATCGTTTTTTATGCTTCAGTGCCATATTTTGCGAATATTAACCGATGAATAGGAATTGCTCGATTGAAAAACTTTTGCAATTAAGTTACGAACTGGCTCACGGGCATGCCGTGTCCTTGAAACCTGACGTACGGTAGCGTTTGCCCGACCGCACGTGGTGGGCACGTTCGTATTGAGTTGAAGTGTGTGCCTCAAAATTTTTTGTCTCATCCTCAAAGGTAGCCACCTCACCTTGGGTCTTATCTTGATTTTGACCAAATCCTTTTCTAAGATGCACGATGAATGATGCCACTAAAGCCCTCGGTCGTAGATATGCACGCGCAGTGGTACCCGAACAGGACCTTTCTAAAGTGCCCAGCACAGCCTTCAGAGACCCATTCTGGCCTGCAGAGGGCCTGTGATGAGCCGTAGAGAATACATTATTGAAAGCTGAGGGCCCATTCTGACCTGCACATGGGACATCTCACTTCCAAACATCAATCGATTTTACAATGTCTACGGGGGGCCAGGGGCGGATCTAGCCTGGAGTTTTTTTTTGGGGGGGGGGGGGCAACCGTTCGTGACCAGCTGGCTGGTGTGGGATCCGAGGTCCAGTGCATGGTGCCTCTCGCGAGTACCTAGTAGGGACATCATCAAAACCGAAAAAGCGCCGAAATGCTTTTGGATCTTAAACAGAAGTTAAAACAATACAGTTAAAACAGTGAAACTTAAAACAGACGGCAGGTAGGCGAAACTTTTCTGAACTTCTGGAAATGATTTTTTTGGGGGGGGGGGCAAAACATACTCTCAGAGGTTTTGGAGGCCATGGCCCCGTGCCCCCCCCCCCCCCCTCCCTCCCCCAGGATCCGCCTATGACGGGGGCAGGGGGCCACGCATCCCGATGTTGCATTACATTGGAGGTTGCATTTGTGGTCATATGTCATCAGTACAACGGTGTGAGCTGGTGACGCATCAATGTCTTCTAGGATGCACCGACGGCACGCATATTAGCGTGACGGTGCCTGCCAGCCTAGAAAATGCGTATGTGAACCGAAAAGGACAAATGAGCCTGAACTTGATGGCTGTTGCCGGATCAAACCGTCAATTCCTGGCAATAGAAGCGCACGCCACCGGGCGAGTCCATGACGCCCGCGTAATGCGTACCTCGGGTCTCCCGGAGTTGTGAGTAGTAGAAAAGCCATGAGTAGACAGGCCAATAGATAGTAGAAAAGCCAATAGTAGACAAATAATGAGTAGAAAAGCCAGTAGGAGAAAAGCCATGAGCCAGTACATAGGTACAGCTATAAATATTTTTTACGACAATAACCATACATACATTCCAAATATGTCGTCACCCATACATTCCAAATATGCCGCCTCTTTTTGGTATGCCACCAGTGTCTGTGATGTGTCCTGGAGGAACATTTCCACATATCTGTATCCGTATCGCGTGGGCCAACCGCTACGTGGTGGCAATGCCTAAACATGGCCCGCGCATAACTTTAAAAAACGTTGACCTCTTTTCAGTTTTGCGAGCGGCCAATCAATGCCAGGTGGGCTGCTTCTGGGGGACAGCACCTACCCCTGCCTCCCCTGGCTGATGACTCCGATTGCTTTGCCGGCAACAGATGCCGAGAGAAGGACTTTGGACTTTGATATCCAACCATCACGTTATATCATATATCAACATTGCCCGTAAATACTTTATTACCAATGAAGCATCGCCGTTATTCACAGATGTTCGTTCATAGTCGTATTCGTAAAGCAAACGCGTCTGTATTTTAACTGGTATTCTGCAATCTAAACGCAAATGTCATTTGCTTGCAATAGGTACAACAGTGCGCATTCAAAAACACGGGTCATAGTCGAAAATGCTTCCGGAACATTAAAGATGCGCTTCCCAGCTTCACATGGCAAGAAGCTGCGTCTACGCAAGATCGAGACGTCAATCAAGGTCATCGTGTGAGTGCATTATTTTAAAAAGAAGTTAATTTATCCTGAATCCGAAAAGAGAAATTTAGAGCGCCCACTTCGTGAGCACATCTCAGTGAGTTGATCATGCAGTGTGCGAATAGAACTTCACCGACTTATTACGATCGTATGGACTTCTGGCACGTACACTCCTCTACCGGAAACATCGGGTGAATAGCGAAAATATTTGACGAGAAAACCTGTTGGGGGGAGGGGGAAGTCACGCTCTCTCCTATCTATGTGCTTGCGTTCCTTACCATAACGTGTGTGGTCATAAGTTCCGAACTGTCATCGTGTCGACTCTCATAGTGTTTACGCTGTTCCAGAGCGTGCGTCATCTTACACAACCTTTGCCAGTCGGCTGGGGATGATGGCGCATGGCTGCTAGACGGGCTGGCGGCTCTGCCCGCAGAACAAGACAACGTTGAGGACGATCCTATCACGGAAGGGGGGCTGGTCGGCCGGGACGTAGCAGCCCAAAGACGCGCTGGCTTTGCCAGACGCGCCGAGCTAGTGCGGCTTTTTCGGCGATAGGGGCCAGTCCATGCGTTATGTTAGTTATGTGTCGGGAAAACTTTGCGCGTTAGAATATCTCATTTATGTATCATACAATCTGAGTTATTTGTTGATATGATATACGTTGTTGTTCGTAAAATGCCTGTATCATCCCCGCCACCGAAGACATATGGCCACATGAGAAGGCAGTAACTCAAGCAGTACATTTTTTTTTGCATTTCATTGGCAAAAATATTCGACGCACTAACAAATGTTCTCACATTCCATTACTACCAACAAATGTCTGAAACCCCAGTATTTCAGAAGAGACAAGACATGACATGCCAAAAATACTTCCCTAACGTTAAGAGCGTGATTTACCAGCCACCGATGCAAAGTCGCTCCATTACCACAACCAACAACAGAACAAGACCAGTGATGGGCAACTAACACGTGACGCGCGGAAGGTAAATGCCAGCCCCAAAAAACCAAGCCAGGAGCGTGACAGCGGAATTCAAAATGATAATTTTGATGAGCCCATGACAAGGTCCAAAAATGCCGCACTGGACATGTCTCCGCCGGCCTCGAAGCGTTGTACCAAAATTTCCAGCAAACGGCTCTCGTTTATGGTCCGCACTCGCACCCTTTCCTCGTCTGTTCGGTCCGAGTTCGGGATAGCCAAAAGAGCGTGGTAGCGAGTGCGGAGACTCGCTCTCTCCTCCTGGCTGGGACCAGCCGGCGTGGCAGTTACCTCCCGCGCGGGGCGGGTGCGCTCGCCTCCACCGGTCTGCGGCTGTTGTTGGGGACGGATGGAGCGACTCGGCATCCGTGTCTGGCATCAGGCTGCGATTTTTTGCCAAAATTAATCGGAAATTTTGCAGGGTCGGTGGGTGCCGTCATTGGTGGCGATGCCGATTGCTTCTGCACCTCCAGCAAGCGGCGATCATTGCTGCATTCTTGCACTGATATGAAGGCACCCGGCGCCGCCGTGATGTCTTCGTCAGCATCTTTGCCTGAAACCGCGATGGAATTTACATTGGGATTGTTTTAAATCAGCACAGCGAGTAAAGGCTATCTGCAATCACTATGTCGATGAGGCGACACATCCGATCTTCCTCGCGAACCCTGGACGTATGCTGCCCACTTAACGGTGGTGTGCATCCAGCAATATTAAGCATGAACGGGTAATACCTACCAATTATGTCGAGAACGACATCATCCAGCCCATCCAGCTGGTCGTCGCCACCGGCGCCACTTCGTCTCAGGCGATCGCGCTTTTCTGTGGACAACAAATTGACGCAGTGGAGTATTCCTGTTTAACGCCTAGTGCAGTTCAGCTAGCCGTCCTGACCTCAGCTTTCGTGGGGTCAGGAAGTCCTGTTAAATGGATTAATTTATGAGACAGTCGGTGTCTTCCCTCGTGTCTCCGCTTCTTAGCTAGATAGGGGCCTGATGGCCTACCGTCCGTGATTTGTTTCCAGTCAACCAACACAAAGCCCGCATAGATCTCGCTCCCCCGCCCCCTCCCCCTCTCGTTTGCCCCCGGCCGTTATCGCCCAAGAATCAAACATCCTGAGCGGCCCGGAGGCTAAATTTTGCCATCGCCGTGCCATGTACTTATCATCCAATTTATTGCGTCACCATCAATTAAATCTTAAGTTAACAATTCAGACATATTCACTATTCTCACCACAACATAGTGCTGCTCATTTGCAGGTTTCATCTGAACTATTTGAAAATGTGAATTATTTGTGGCGGCGTGGGCTATTTCCGCCACCTCCCTGCTAAAGCGTGGTTGGCGGTGCGCTTCATTTGACCCAACTAGCAATAAACTAACAATCATAGCGAATCCGTGGTTGTTGTTCAGGACCATAAGCACAGTATCTATGAACACGCAGATCAAGTGGATCAGCCTCGCCCCGATTGCAGCAGTTTCAGGCCACAGCCGACAAATGCGCTCTCGCGAGCTGCCAGGCGGCCGCGCCGCTGCGAGCAGACGACAGCCGCCGCGCAAGGCAATCAAGTGAGCACAGTGACGAAACAGACGCCCCCACAGCGAGTGGTGCGGGTCACTCTGGCAGAGGAGCTACCCTACGCTCGGGCGCGGAGCCCTTATTTCAGTGATTGTGTCAGAGCAGTCTTGGCCCTGTAGTGAAATCAAACAATCAGAGCCCAGCTGTGCCAATGACCAGATGCAATCGTCACTTGTATGTGCTGATCAAGGCAACAGTGATGCGCACATATCTCATGGTGGTTTTTTAAATTTACGCAGCAAGCAGTTTGTGCAGGTCTTACCTCGCATGGACCGCAGCTGGTTGGCATAGAGCCCGTGACGGAAGCCACGGGCGTCCATGCTGCCCTTCACCAGGCCAATTGCTTGGCCAGGTCCAGCACGGCATCCCAGCCAGTCTGCCGCCTGGCCTGGCCACTGCAGGACCGGAATCGTCCGAAAAGTATCTGCAAGGTGTGGGGACATCACGTGTTTATTGAGCAATCCGGGCTAGTAAAGCAATTAAAATGGGAAATTAAAGCAGTTCAAGCAGGAAATGGCCAAAGTGTAACGTAATTCACGGCCATCACTTCTTGAGTGTGTCATGAGGCGAGTGCGAGGCGGGAGCTGCGCGCTACAAACGTCCGCCCGCGGATGCCGGCGGCGCAAGTAGACGCCGGCACCCGGACGGTAGCCAGCTATCTTGAGGCGGCAGAGCATCTGTGCCGGCATCGCACAGCAGTGGTGCGAAATATCGAACTGCTTGGTGGTGACGAGCATGTAAGTGTTACCAAGGCGTCTTCAATGCATTGCCTAACTAGGAAGCCAGCATCCTGCGATGAATGATAGAGAGGCATCTCTGGCTTTGGGATTGTGTCATGACCTGCAACTCTAGTAGTGTTCTCACATGATCATTTTAGGAGCATGTCTTGGCGGCTTCATCCAGGTCACATCGTAGTTTTTTTGCGCGCTGTTTTAGCTCATCTAACTATAGACCATTTTCAGACATTTGGTTGAAGTCTAAAAGCGCTGAAACAACTTAGAACCAAAGACACCAATTTATAGCGCGAGTTGGACCTCATGGGGACCTAATTGTGTCATCTTTTGGGGTATCTATGTCCATGGCCTTAAATTCAAACAAGAACAAACAAGATCAAACTAGATATTGATGTCAAAATATCCAGACGTCCTCAGACAACAAGCTTTAACCTAGATACGTTTTTGAAGCAAGAAATTACTTAAGGTCATGTTGGGTCACTGACTCCTTGTCGTCAGAAAGTCATTATGGCAAATAAATGACATTGGCTGTGAACTGGTGTTGTGAAAATTGTCTCTTTGTAATTTGAATCCAGATTCGCATCGCATTGTCCCAGACGGCGTGTTCGTCGAAGCAACAGCTTCGCAACAGTTCGTCGAGCTAAACGGGTGGTTTGTACGCTTTAGCAAAGCGAGACTTCGTGGAAGGCGGTCACCTGGGAGTGCCCCAAATCCAATGTTGTATCCATGTATGTGTTGCTGTGTAAGTTTCCCAGCGTGATGGGCCAACATGCGCGGACGGGGTTCGTCTGTCTGTCGAGGTCTGTCTAAACACACCAAAGCTACGGTGACCAATGACAATACGTGACCTGCTTGGGCGTACAAAGTGTTGGACTCGGGGTGCTACAAGTCATGCAAACATTTGGCTAGCCGGCCAGCTAGCCAATGAACTGCTGCTTCGTAAGCCGCTGGCTTTAGCCTTTGGTATGCGAGACACCTGTGCTGCGGTCATCTACGATTACGATGGGACTCTAAATTGGCAGCCTTAGACGTTACACGCTTCAAACTCCGGGAATATCGTCTCTAAGACGGACTAAGACGGACTTCACATACCAAGATTGAGGTAGATCAATACTGAGATGTAACCTGCATATGCTTGTAATAGATTTGACTTGAGGACATCCATGTCACGGAGGCATGGACCCAGGGACTAAAAATTCGGTGAATAGAGAGATTCCAACGCAAGACATTAAAATGTGCCGCATTTAACTTTTGCAAAAGTGTGGTGGCATAATTATAGGTCGCGGTTTCGACTTCAGTCTACACCTGCCTCTACTTGATGCATGAAATAAATTATTCAGCATGCGCTTTGTCCTTTGCATACCCAAGTGAGGTCATACCACGTTTAAGTTGTTTAACCGTCACGCTGCGGGAGTTTGCTGACCTTTACCCTGGGAAGGGGGGAGGGGAAGCTCAGTTTGCTCACCGTCGCCCTGGGAAGGAGGGGGGGGGGGGGGGGAAGCTCATAGGCCCTCCTTGATATTTCAAAAACTAAGCAACGTACAGCGACAGAAAAGGACATGGGAGGACTTTGCCAAATTTCATCATATATGTGCGACTTGACAATAGTAAATGTGATCTTTCACAAGTCCATCAGGTGGCTTGCATCGAATTATTGCTTCCTATATATATATATATATATATATATATATATATATATATGTTCCAAGTTTGAAACGAAGCACGGTACGACCAGGTACAACGTGGTGTCGAATAACACTTGAAAAACCCCTATAGTGATAAGGTCCTGGTGCATATCGGCACATGTGATTCCTTGTGTGTCATGTCCGGTCAAAGGGGGGGGGGAGGGGATTATTGCATTGGGCTGTTCGACGTTCTCAAGGGCCCAAAACTGCATCAATGAAGGAGATATGGTTCGAGAAACCTTCAAAGGTTGCAGCGCATATGCCATTCGGTTTTAAATTGTTCGACTTAAAAGAGGCAGGCAGTCGAAAACGCCAAGTCGTGACCTGGCTTTACCTTGGGCGGCCTGAACTTAAAGACAACGGAACGATTCTAATGAACCTCAGACCAGGTACCGTGATGAAGAAAAGAGGTCTCCAAACTTGCTGTGGAATGCATTTCCCGGGGGATTAAACATTTTGTCACTGCTACGGAAAACGTCGCTGACATGACCTTGAGAGGCATGTCATAGATCATCAGCCGTCGCGGCTAGAAACATCCTCCGTGTGCAAAACGTGTCAAACCACGTGGTAACTCAGCTACCCAAAATATCACCAACCGTGGTTACCACCGTTCGCAAGTTACGACAGAAAAAACACTTCTGAAACCCTCCATGCCCCTCGTAGAGCGAGAGTTTCCAGTTAGTTACAGCGTTTATCTTCAGTTGTAATGCCTGCCTTCTCGACTGCAATCAGGTTGTAGCAGCAGCTGCCATGGCTGGAGGAGCCTTCCCGGCCGCCGGAGCCGCCGGCAATCGCCGGAGCTGCCCAGGCCGCCGGAGTCGCCGGAGCCCCCGGACCTGCTCAGGCCGCTGGAGCCGTCAGAGATGCCCAGCCGGCCGGAGCCGACGGAGCCCCCGGACCTGCTCAGGCGCTGGAGCCGTCAGAGACGCCCAGCCGGCCGGAGCCGACGGAGCCCCTAGAGCCGCCAGAGCCGGTCTCAGACCGCTGGAGCTGTCGGGGCCCCCGGTGCCCCCGGAGCCGCCCAGGAAGCCCAGGCCACCCGAACCCAACGAACAGCCGGACCGTCCAGAGCCATCGGAGCCGCCCAAGCCGCTGGAGGCCACCGAGCCGCCGGAGCTGCCCAAGCCCCCGAGCCATCTAGAGCCGCCCGAGCCGCCCAAGCCACAGGAGCCCACGGAGCTGTGGGAGTCGCCCAAGCCCCCAAACCGGCCAGAGCCGCCGGGCCGCCCAGCTAGAGGCTACGATGGCCTGTTAAACCAGCCCAGACCAGTAAGTTTAAGCGAAGTTGTCTGTCGTAGAACACTCATAGTTTACTTGTTAAATCCGCGTTGTACGAAATCGTGTTATATTGGCTTCCGATGACGCGCATAAGCCATTTGTTTCGATGTACTTCAAATGCCAGAGGTGATCCTTATTTTTTAAAAAGCAAGGTTCGTTAGAACAAGAACCACTGTGATTCCAGGATAACATTAGTACAAAGCAATTTCAATAATGAAGCGCCGACAGAAATTTTGACATAATAAATCAGTCGAGGTGCATAAAAGCAGCGAGCCGTTGCTGACAAAAACAAAACTATTGCCATGCAACGCAATGGTTGAGGAGTGTTTGCAGCGTTGGGATGCAGACCCATTCAGCTGTACGTAAATAATAGCATATGGTCATCGCGTCAAAACGCACACAAATGGTGATAACGCGAAATTCTGTATTTGTTTCACTTCAACGCAGCAGGTGAAGAATTTCAAACATGCTAGGCTATGAATGATGATGTGTTGCTCCCTTAATCCGTAGGAATGCCAGATATGCCTGCAGCTGTGGGACAACCAGGTCCGCCGGGGCGCGGTCCTACCCTGCCTGCATGCCTACGGCTGCACGCGGCGCCTGTAAGCAATCCAGGCGCGGGCGCCCGGAAGGCGGGCCAGGTGCCCATTCTGCCGAGGCCGCTTCTGGGAGCCTCCCAGAGAG